ACGCACCCCATAGCTGTTAAAAGCTCTGCAGAAGCTAACGCATCCGGCTTGAACCGGTACAAAATAGTGCGCCAATTCAATTTAGCGCCCTAATGCGAACGAAACCATCAACGACTCAGCCAATATGGCAACGGATCGGCAATACGTCCATTTCGTTTTTCCCCCTAGAATTTTCCTGAACGTTAAGCTAGTCTAGGGCTTTTTTATCCACATGGAATTATCTTGCATAGATACAGTAAGAAAAAGTACGACTCGGTAGCTGATTCGAGAAAAATTGACTCTGATACTCACGCTATCGTCATCATCAAATGCGTCGTACATACCGTAACCGTAGCCGTCGTTCTAAAATACGAATATTAGAATTTATAGTTGTAGAAAAAGAGTTCCATTTAGAGAGTTAGAAAGATCTCTCTGACATAAAAAAGGTTGGAAATTCTATGATAAGTCTGCATTTTGTGCAAATGCAGACAAGGGACACGCATAGGAAAACACTGCTCATATGTGCGTGCAGCTAATGACACTACACACCATAATCTTACCGTATATCAAAGCAAGAGCTATGATATATGAGATAGGTAATGTCAACCTTAGATGTGAATACCACAAATAAGTATAAAAATTGGTGTCCCAAGAAAAAGTAGCCAAGATCATTATTATTCAATGCATAAAGCAATCTTGACCAATACTTACCCTTCTTCTAAGGACGACCTGATCAATACGCATGATCGCACATCGATTTAATGTGTTTAGACGACGATAGAGTGCTCGTAGTGAGTCCGGTCCCAAGAATTCGTGATCCGATTGCACACTACGAATGTCGATGGGAAAACGACCTTCTGAAATGGGATGCGATTTTATTCACATCTATGATTCGCCAATTGAACATATCCATTCAGCTCTAAGCTGTATTTGAATCATTTTTACAAATAGCGAAAGATTTGATTGTAGCCGTTGAGAATAAGAAAGACAAAGCTGACATAGACAAGATTCCCAAAATCTATTTCTATTTTAAGACTCAGATTACACCACTTGCACCTCTGTGTCAATTACGGTGAACGTCATTCCGAAGATGGCTGCCACATAAGAAAAAAGAAAAAGTAGATATTCAATGAAAGAAAGAAGACATGTGATAGTGATTGTTAAATCAGACACAAGGGTGTTTGTATGGCTAAAAAAAGTTTTTCTAACGGTTTGCGAGAAAACCGAAGAGATGCAGCGAACACTCAATCACAAGGTTTTTATAATTTTCCGAATCAATCTACCTAGTAAAGTCACTACAGATAATAAGCCAAGGAATAGCAGTGGCACAGATCAGTACCGACAAGGATTTACTCTCCTATCACACGCAGCCTTAAAAAATTTCCGGCAATACATTTTTACATTCCTGAAAGCTCGCTCAACGAGCCTTTAGATAAATTCAGCAACTGTTAACCAGGATGAGAAAGCTTACTAAAAATATAGGATTATTTGACAATCACTATGAG